ATTATAACATTGGCGCCCAAAATGATCTTGAAATGTTTTCACAAGCCATGAATTATAAGGAATCGAATTTGTGGTATGATGCTATGAAAGATGAGATGAGTTTTATGGCGTTTAATCAAGTCTGGGATCTTGTTGAGTTACCTAATGGGGTAAAATCCATTGGATGTAGATGAGTCTTTAAAACTAAGAAAGACTCAAAAGATGACATTGAAAGAAAAGGTTTATATGAAACAACTTGAAGGGTTCTTCTCTAGTGATGGTGTGCAGTTAGCATGTAAGTTTAATAAATCTATCTATGGATTAAAACAAGTTTCACACCAATGGTATTAAAATTTCATAAAGTTATTTCTTCATTTGGTTTTGAGGATAACATCATGGATCAATGTATATATCAAAAGGTTAATGAGAGCAAAATTTGTTTTCTTGTTTTATACGTGGATGACATTTTGCTTGCAACTGATGACAAGGTAATGCTATATGCGGTAAAACAATTTCTCTCAAAAAACTTTGATACGAAAGATATGAGAGACATCTTATGTCATAGGCACTAAGATCCATAGAGAAAGATCTCAAGGTGTTTTGGGTTTATCCTAAGAGACCTATATCAACAAGGTTCTAGAGATGTTTAACATGAAAGATTGTTCACCGAGTATGACTCTCATTGTGAAGGGTGATAAGCTTGAATTGGGTCAGTGTCTAAAAAATGATTTTGAGCTGGAACACATGAAGAATGTCCCATATGCTTTAGTTGTTGGAAGTCTTATGTATGCTCAGGTCTGCACTAGACTAGACATTGCATTTGCAGTTAGAGTTTTTGGAAGATATCAGAGTAATTCAAATATTGACCACTAGAAAGCTGCAAAAAAAGTAATGAGATACCTTTAAGGAATAAAGGATTTTATGCTCATCTACAAACAGATTGATAGTTTGGAGGTGATAGGCTACTCTGATCCAGACTTTGTTGGCTACATAGATACTAGAAAATCTTCATCTGGTTACATTTTTATGCTAGCTTGTGAAGCTATATCTTGGAGCAACAAAAGGCAGACCTTGACTATTACTTCCACTATGAAAGATGAGTTTGTTTCTTGTTTTGAGGCTACTTCACATGGTGTATGATTGAAGAGTTTTATATCTAGGCTAAGAGTTGTGGACTCAATTGTTAGGTCATTAAAGTTATATTGTGACTACTCTACTGCGATATTTATGACTAAGAATAATAAAAGTAGAAGTTGAAATAAGTCCATCGACATCAAATATCTAGCCATAAAAGAACGTCACAAAAATGAGACTTAGTTCCATATTATGACAATTTGTAATTTTATAAAACTTTCAATTAGTTTGATGATTTCAATTAGTTTTTTTTTTAATAAATATCATTAGTTTTACCTAGAATAAACATAAGGTTTATTCATTAATGTTAAAGAACATTTTATGAGAGACTTAATATATTGTAATAAATGAGAGATAAGAGGACATATCACCATGATTCATATATTTAGTTTCTCTTAAGATTGATAATGAAATAAATGGATCAAGTACTTATCTCATGATTTAGCGGTTATCCTGCAATTTGTGCAATTTTATGAATTTTTTCTGTTGTGGTTTAGAACTCTGTGATGGTTAGTGCTATATAAATACTCGTATATGCGTAGTGCTTCAATGTCATCAAATTTGCTCTCTTTTTCATTATTCTATACTATCTGTGTTAAGGAGCAATGACGGATCTTGACCATGGACTTTGGAGGATAAAATAATATATTATTAATAAATAAATATAAAATGATAAAAGAAGATAAAAGTGTAAGATGAAAAAATTGTAAATATATAAATAAGTATATTAAATGATCATTAAGTTTGGGAAAACTAAAATCACAAATTACATGATATTACAAAACTGAAGAGAAGATGAAAGAATAAAATTATAAATATATTAAATGATTATTAAGTTTTTGGGACAAGGATCCCCTCAATATTATAAAGAAATTAATATGTAGATGATTTATTATTATTATTATTATAAACAATTTTATGTTAATATTACAATGATTTTGTTTTGTTAACATTGGCATCCTATCTATTAATAATAATACTTTATATGTTAATTACACTATTTGATTAAGGTCTTGGCCTTACGTGATACATTTTATATATTTGTAATAATTTCTTAATCATAGTATTAAGCATTTTTTTCATTAAAAATTAATTATCATTCAAAATATAATATACTTTACAATGTGATTTGAACTTGAAAATTTACGAGTGATATATATATAATTTTGCAATTCCGTTCTAATTTTTGTTCTATAATTTTTATAAAATATGACATTTTCTTATATTTCATGTAAAGTTATTTATTTATTTATTTATTAATATGAAAATTTTGTTTTAAATAATTTTATAACGTCTTTTGCATTTCTAACAAAAATATAGATAGTTTTTTTTTTATTATTCAGGGGATAATTGCATTGTGAGGAGTTTTATTATTATTATTATTATTATTATTATAATAATAATAATAATAATAATAATAATAATTAATTTTATATAAAATATAATGAAATAAATTTAATTAAGAAAATTCTCACTTCTCGTTCTGATTTTATATTTAAATTTAAAATTTAAAATATTAATATTTAAAAAATATTTTTTTATTATATATATATATATATATTTTTTTTATTTTACCATTTTTATTTTTCTTTTAACCACTTCTTAATTATTTTATATTTTTTAATCTTTTATATCAATTAGTTTATTATATTTTTTTCACTTTTTTTTCATTTCTATAATATCTTATTAATTTGTTTTTTAATTTTTTCAACTAATTTAAAAAAAACACAAAGTTAATTTTCTTTTTAATATTTTACATAAATTTTAGTTATAACTAATATTATTTTATTTATTTTTTATCTTTATTAGATTTTATTATGTCATATTTTTTTTAGATCTTATTATTTTTATTTATCATATATCAAATCTTATATTGTTAAAATAATTATATTTAAAAATATTAAAAATAAATGATAATTTAATCTTTTATTATTTAAAACTAATTAAATAAAAATTAATTTATTAAATATTTTCTCAAAAAATAATATATTTTATATTTTTAAATAATAATTAAAAAAACAACTTATATATATAATCAAATATTTAAATATAATATTATAATAATAATATTATTATTATTATTATTATAAATATTTTATATTTATATAAAGAAAAAATAATTAAATATTTTTTTACTTACATATTTTAATATAAGTATAATAAATAAAAAAATATATTTAATTAATAATTATTATAAATTATAAAATTATAAATATTTATTTATATATAAAAAAATATCAAAATATTAAAATTATTTTATGATAAATATAATAATAATTTTAAAATTAATAGTAATAAAAAAATTCAAAAATAAGATAAAAATTGAGACTTAATTTCTAATTTAACAAGAATAAAAAAAAATAAACATGATTAAAAAAAAAAAGTTGGAAAACGGGTCGGAGGCAAAAACGCGTTCCGCGTCCGTTGCCATGCATAGTTTGAGAGAGGAAAAAATATTCAAATTAAAAAGCAAGCTTTGAAGATAAAGTAGGTGAAAGTGAAAGAAGAAAAACTAACTATTTAAAAGGGAGAACTAAACAATAAATAAACCAACCCATTTGGGAAGGGAACCCTTTGAAGAAAAAACAATACATAAATATACTATCAAACATTTTATGTTAGATGACGTGGGACAGGCACATTTCATAATAATGATTTATAATATTTAATGAATTAAGAGACTAATTTTTTAATTGGAGGGTCTTATATATTTTAAGAAAATCAGAAAATAAAATATATTTTTATTGTTTAAAATTAAAATAAGAGAAGATGAGAATAAAATGTTTATCTTTTTATATATAAAATCTACCACAATTTTAATCAATCGTTTTGCTTAAGGATGTTTAAGATAAACATAAAAAATAAAAAAGAATATTTCATAGTGAAAAAGAGTATTTCTAACATGCACTCACGTATATGTCTACTTAAAAATGAGATAAATTCATTATATTTCATCTAATACTTTATTTTTCTTCCATCATTATAGTGCACTTATTTTTTTCTTTCATTTTTGTTTTTTCATTTTTAAAATATTTCTTTCATTATATTCAAAGATTTATTTTGAATAATAATATAATATAATTTATATTCAAATAAAAAATATATTTTAAATAAATGAATTCCTAAATATATTCTAAATTATTTTAAATTATGATATATTTTTAAAAATTATAAATAATGTATAAAGCGATCCAATAATTTATTAATTAATGTGATGTGAACATCGACATTAGTTTATTAAATATAAAAAATTGAAAAGTTAATTATTTATTAAAAATATTGAATTTTATAACAATTATCATAAAAAATATCTTATTTAATAAAATAAACAAATTATATGAATTTTAATATATTTATTTTAGTTTAAAATAATTTAAAAGATATTGAAGAATTTATTTTATTTTAAATATGTATTTTATTTTATCTTAGTGTAAAATAATTTAAAACAAATTATAAACTAAGTTATATTATTATTTAAAATAAACTTATGAATATATTTAAAAATATTTTGAAATATAATTTTTTTAAAATAAGTTTTTTTTTAGGTTACTTATGAAACAGAGAAATTTGAAATTTAAAGAATAAATGCTAGTAAGGTGAAAATTTAAAGAATAACTTACCAAAAATTTTCATATTTTAAGGAAATATGTGAAAATATGATGTGTTATAAGATTCAATCTAGAATTAAATTAAACACTAATAGGTGTCCATGCAGTGAAGAATTTAGAGCTTGGCCAGAAACAATGAGTTTCTGACAATTGATTATTGAACATCAATACTACATATTTTGAAATTGGAAGTCAGATGGATCAAATTTATCTTTGCATGGAAACTTGAACCAGTTTCACGCATCAGACTCAACAGTCACTCTTGCTTAATATAAAGTGCTAGTTTTGGCACCCTTCTTCCCTAACCACTAATGCTTGTTGTGGTTCCTTCTTCTCTGATTCTGCAAGCACAGGTGCTTTCTGCTGTTCCTTCTCATTTACTTGTGCTTCTCCATCTTCTGATTGTAGTGTCACATGCTGCCTTAAATATCTGAATAGTACGAGCAATATGAAAACTGCAAAGAAAAAATTATTTCACAAGAATTAACCATCACAACGATGTTTCCAAACCCAAATGCAAATTTATGTAGACAGGATTTACATATCATGGTTCATATGGTATATATCCTAAAGACAAACTTCGTTTTTAGAGTCTAATTTCCATGTCAGCCGAGACTACTAATGTTTCTAGAATGTGCTTGTTTTAGCCAAACCCCACTTTCCAATTGAAAGTTGAACCCAGTACTCCTTTATATTTTGGTTAAACACACCTTAAAATGCAACTGCAACTGGTAAATATAGTTCATGCTAAAAATTGCAGCCAACTGCTACTGACTTACTTGTGAAGATTCGAGTTTTTATTGAAGATAGATTCCAGAAGGCCATTAGTACTGATGCCAAAACTTTCTTCTTGTGAGTGCAAGCACTCCATGCATCCAACAACCATAATTTCAAGCACTCAGCTGCATGATCAAAGTTCCTACTATTAAAGCACCAAAAACTGGACAGAAATTTCCTACAAGTAGGGGGAGTTATACCTCTCTTATTTATCTGAGCACTGTAGCAAAAATAGAGCTTTGGAACACTGAAACTGATAAAAAATCCTGTTTGTATATATATATAGACATTGTCAGTTGAGCTAGGTACTAAAAGACGAGAAAGAAACTGTTAGCGGAAAAGGCTATCGAAGTCATTGTGTCCTCACCAATGGCAAACAGCCTCCAGATAGTAATTAAGTGGCCGTACTCTGCTCCTAGTAGAAGGAAAGGAACTACCTGCAACAACAAAAAAACCAACCAGTTACTTAGGCAGTATAAATAATCATGGACATGACGTATTAAGGACTCAATGTGAAAATTCAATCCAACTATTGGGGAATAATGCCTTGAACCATTGCACCTAAGGTTATTATTAGAATGCTTCTCAAGCCAGAATGAGTCTCATGATCTCATCCTAGCAGGAACTTAAAAAAGGGGATTATTAGACACATCACGAGATACAAACAAAAATACATAGGGTGCCAGAATCTGAGAGTGAGACATGGTGGAGGGGTGTGGGAAAAATGTAGATTATATCTGCATCCACATTCACATAGTGAAATCTGTTGCGGCCTATACTTAGCCCAATATTGGCTGAAGCATGTACATCATTTCACATAACACCTATTGCCGACTTTCATAACCATCACTTCAACCTAAGGCGCTATCATATTAGCTGAAAGTACACCAATTTTTACAATTACACGGCGTCAAAATTAAATTCTCAATCTAAGAAGAAGAACTTGGAGGATTACTTTGAGGGTCATGGATGGTTCTCCTGAGAACAGCGCTCTCATCTTTGAAATTGCAAAATTCAGTGCAGGAAGACCTAACTTTGCAAGACGCAAAATGTCATCTTCTCTCAGCTTGACTTCTCTCTTTTCTTCAACTTTATTTCTGAAATACAAAACACCAAAGTCACGAAAACACAAGAGTTTGATGCAGAATAGTATCACCTATGAATGGAAAAGTAAAAAGTAAAAATCGCACCTTTGACAAATCGAATTGGAGAAAAACGAAACACTCAATAAGAGAATCCCCAATTGCGACGAGGCAGAGAAAATGCTGAAAAACACAATCATCTCAGATACTCCTCCACGAGGTTGAAAACAAAAAGATAATCGCATAAAGTGCCTATCTAAATTTTGTCAGAAAACACAAAGAAATTAAACTACTGACCTAAAGCTCAGTCCTTGAGTAAAGCAAGATGACAAGAGACAAAGCGACCCAAACCCAAACCAAAACGTTGACTTCGACGCATCTTTCCACATGATCAAATCATTCACCATCTGCCCAACTCGGTCGAAATCACCGCCACTCTCTTCTTCACTTTCTGAAAACAAAAAAACACCCAGAAAAAATAAAAATCAAATTTTGAGAAGTTGGAGAAGCCAAAAAGATAACAACAAAATATGCATACTTGGAGATGAGGTTGAAGGTGGAACAGAGTTAACTTTCTCCTTCTTAGTTCGCGCGGTTTGTCTTTTCTTCCTGGGTTGTTTTCCAACCTCTTCGATCAACCCCGAGTCCTTTTCTTCTCGAACCTCGAGCTCGAAGCGTCGTCTCGGTTTGCGAGGGTTCCTCGGGGAGCCAGTTTGGGGTGCCCGGGTTCTGCAGCGGCGTCGCAGTCCGGAAGAATCCGGCAACTCGGGCGGCGGCGCGTCGAGGTGGGTGGTGGAGTTTGCGGGGGGCGAAAGGGATTTAGTGGGGGTTGAGAGGTGTTGTTGGGTGGGTTTGTCTTCAATTGGGAGAGAAGGGTTTGGTTGAGGAGAAGAAGAGTCCATGACTTGAAATGGGTTGATTTGTGAGTGAGGAAGAAGAAGTGAAAGGTTGAAGGATTCTGATATGATTGTTGAGGGTTTTGTAAAGTTTCTCCGCAGTGTTAACTGTACTATAATGAATTCGAATGATGACAATTTAGGAAGTAGCCGTTGGAAGAATATCTGCTTTAAAATTTTATTACAAAACCTACACTCCTAATATATGATTTTACCAGAAACAAACACGTATACACTTTTGTTGATTTTCAAAATAATTATATTAATGTTATGAATAAAAGCTACGTCAATATTCATAATTTAATTATTATATATTTTATTTTATTTTTAATTCTTTATTTTAGCGTAGAGTTTATATATATATATATATATATATATATATATATATATATATATATATATATATATATAATTTATCGATCCATTAAATTCTTAAAAGAATGGTGACATGTCATAAAAGAAATATCAAATAACGTTATTTTACAATTAATAAAACAACACATTTATTTAAAAAATTATGACATATTTGTCATATTACTGACAATTTTTTGTTAATTGATAGCTTTATTCAATATTACAAGAATAAAATAATTTAATCAAAACTAGCATTATATTAATACATGTTGGTTTTATATAACTAAAAATTAGAATTAATATATATATATATATATATATATATATATATATATAATATAAAAGTTATTTATTATAATTAGAATTTATAAATATATATATTTGTAGTATAACAACACATTTAACTGCCTGAATATTTCTTTTAAAATATAGAAATTCAATTTGAAAACAATTTCTTTTAACCTTCTATTTTTTTTCTTATTTTTCAATGTAGAAAATATAATATTATTTTAATAATTATTAGTATTATTGGTGTTTGTAATTTTTGTTGAAATTTATATTTTTTAGAATTTGAAACTGCTACGATTTATTTAAATTTAGAGAAAATTCAACAAACTTAGCCTATAGTTGAAACTTTATGTAAAACACAGTTGAGATGGAACTCTAGTAATTCAGAAAAAATATCCCAAATGCGTCATCCTAGCTATGTGAGTACACTTAAGTTTGGAACAAAAATTAATGATATGAATATGTGAAGTCATATTATTCTTGTTTTTTTTCATTGTTCACATTTAATCTCTTCTTTGGTTTTTTATGGCATTAATCAATGAGAGAAATTTCAGTGTATATTGGTGGTGTTGATGAAGCTGAAAAAATTTTGATATATAGATAGATATGGAGAGAGCTTGTTTTGAAACTATTCAGCAGGAACTGAATTCAAATATTTATGCAGGAGGAACCAGGTGAAAATTGTACCCATTTTAGTTGGTGCTGTCAGTGCTGAAAAGGAAGCTAAGTATGCTTCAGTGGTTTGAATGTTTTGTTACCAATATATATTACACTATCTCAAGAACAAATAACAGAAGATAATGAAACTTGTGATCCAGTATTACTAATGCGTGATCTGTGATGTTGGTGGCAAGTTATATATTGTGTTGTGATAACTGTTCTTAAACATTTGAGTCATATAAACCTCTTCAACCCTCCCATTTTCTTTATTGTTTCTATACCTTTTTCTTCTCTTCTGCATAAATTCAGTGTTTATACTTTTTCTTTCCCTTCTTCACTAGTATTTACACTTAAAAAAATGTAGAAAGAGTCACAATAAACATAAAAAAAAATATGTTTATAATCAAAATGTTCAGAGTAGAAAAAAATACTACGAAATATGATGGATTCTTCTAGATCGGGTAATTAATTGACTGTGCAATATATAAAATCATAAGATTTCATTGTTATAAACTAAAATTTCATTACTAACAAGAAATGCTTAAATTCAACATAAGGCACAAACTAGACTCCAGTATAATTGGAGAGACACCAGTAACTAGCAAAACCAAAGTAGCCATGTGAGGATAAAGCCAAGATGAAGACATCAAACAAAGAAAGCATAAATTATACAATTGCTGCCACAAATCGTATATGGCAACTCCCCAATAAATATGGTATTATATCAGCACATGAATATATTTTAGCCACGAAAATGTCTTATTTGAACTTAACACAGCTAAAAGGTAAACACACTTTTCCCCACCAGACACCTTTCATATGACATGACTTATGACCTCTTTGCATGTCTAAGCCCGAACGCTCTTACCCTGCTAAGGCCCTCTTTAATATCAGAAGGGTCAACAGCAAGACTAAACCGAAGCCAATTCTTCAGTCCAACCATAACACCTACAAGTATTATGAGAAATTCTCATCACACATTCATCATTTTGTCACAAAGTCGATGGAATTGCAAATTTGCAATGACTTGACCTTGAGAGAATTCTTACCAGGAAAAAGAACTACAGATTCCTCTTTGGCCAACTTACTGCAAAATTGTATATCATCAACAATGCCCTCAAGTTGGGAAAGGTTAATCTTCACCTACTCCATTATTTTTCATTAATTGATCTTTTCTAAAGATGATGTCATGTTATAAATATACAGCATTATGAAAAGTGTAAAATTCTTTAAGCCACTCACCATTACAACCATGGCTCCCTCTGGTTTCTGGGGGCAATTCAAGCAAGGGATCTCCTTACATCCATCATAGAATATTTTTGCAATCTCTCTCATTATATCAAGATTTTTTGAATGGAAATCATTCGTAGTTTTCTTCAGGATTTCTGGTATTGCTGCCTGAAACACGTATTACAATTGGTTATTTATCACTTGTATCATGCTCATGACACTGTCCATTAATTGGTAATTACCTGCACGATGGTTGAAGGATTAGCAGTGATCTCTACATAATCGATTATTTTCGACACGACCTAATAATAAGGAAACAAAACGATTGAATTATTATAATATAAAAATAGTCAGTAATAATCTTGAATCATATAATAACTTTTCGATTACTGGGTTATTCTTACTCAATTTTCAACCTAAAAACAACTATTTTAGACCAATAATTTAAGCACAAACACATTAAAAAACAAAAACAAACCCCAGATTTTTGAAAAATTCCCCGAGGATCACATATGGCTATCCAACCGATTCTCCAACCAGGAATAAGCCATCTTTTTGAGAAAGAACCAATCGTAATAACTGGCACTATTGATGAAAACTCTCCCATGGGTACAAACTGTTTGCTTCCAAAAACTACATGGGCATAAACTTCATCAGAGATGACATAGATTCCAAGTTTGCTTGCAATCTCTGCAACCTACAAGAGTCATGGAAAATCACTACATTTTGTTTTCTCAACCCAAATAAATTTGAAGGTAAGTTTGAGCTAAAGATACCCTTTTCAAATGTTCGTACGCAAAAACATTCCCACACGGACTACTGGGACTGACGAGGGCCAAAGCCACAGTGTTCTCATCTGCTAAAGTTTCTAAAGAGTCAAGGTCAACTTCCCATCCTCTCTCAGGCAAAAGATCAAAATGTCTAACTTCAAGATTACAACGAGAGGCACGAAGTTCGTATTGTGGGTACCCTGGCTTTGGAAGGAGAATGTTGGCCCCAGGACGTGCAAGAGAAGGCAATATTATATCTATAGCTTGTGTGCCACCAATGGTGAGAAAAACATTCTCTGCAGACAGCTTATGTGGAAGATGAGAGGAGAGATGATCTGCAACAGCACTGTAATGAAATATATACACAATGGAACTGTTTTTAGTTTATTACAAATGAAGCAATTTGTAGAATGATTTAGTACAAGAGAGCTTTGAAGAAACAAACATCTTAGCCTCAAGTAAGCCTAGAGTGGGAGGGTAACAGTTGAAGTTAAGGGAGTGAATGGCTGTTGTAATAGCATCAAGAGCCACTGTGGTAGTCCGAAACAGTGGGTTATCGGTGGGATCTACACGACCAAGACGAATCACTGGTCTGCTGTCTTCCTTGTTGACGCTGTCTAGCAACATGTCATAGAGTCCTCCCACTGTGATGCTTGAAGAATTCAACTCTTTGTTCTCCATAAAGTTAGTTGGTCAATCAGGATGATGAGTGAATTACAAGGAGAAAGTAACAAGATAGCTAAGAACACAATACCAGTCATGAGACCACCTCCATATCATGTTATTATATATAGTATCTGTAATTAAATGTGTAATAGCCAGATTTTTTTTACCATTTTTGCAAAATTTTCTTTAAAATTTATTAATATGAATAAATTTTAAAAAAATTATAAATCTAATAAGTCGTGTTACATATAAATGAGAGAATTTTTTTTTTAAATTAAGAAAAGGTCATATTAGATATTACGGATTTCATGTATGTATATATATATATATATATATATATATATATATATATATATATATATATATATATATATATATATATATATATAAATAGTATTAGTAACTACTTCTATTCTTTATTATTGTAATTAATAATTATATATTTTTATATTATTATTAAAATCAATAATTATTATATTATTTTATTATTAATAATATTAACAAAAATTTGTTAATAAAAAATAATATAATTATAAATATTATTATTTTATTATTGATTGTATTAATAATATAAATATTCTTATTATTATTTATTTTATTTTTAATTATAATAATAATTACATTATATAATAAAAATTTGTTATTATTATTTATAATAATAAATTATATTAATTTAATTGTTATATTTTAATAATCATTATTATATAAATATTATAATTATATTATAAAAAATTAATATCATTATAATTTATAATAATAATTGTAATATATTTAATTATTATCTATTTTATTTATATATTTTTTAATAAAATTATACGTAACATATTAATGTAAGTGATATCTAATAATAAGGTTGATACATTGAATATTAAATTTTCTTATATAAATATGTAAAAATAAAGAAAGAAAAAAATATATAAAATACACTAGAGATCGAACCAAAATACATGTAATAAATTTATGAAATAAACTGACACTTTTAGAATCTAAACTTATTTCTTAAAGTTGATCTCATTTTATTTAAATTATAATTAATAATATAATAAATAATAATAAATATGACATCTGAAAAAAAATATATATATATATATATATATATATATATATATATCCATTAGATTTATTAGTTTAATATTGAATGATATGGATGAATGGCATCTAAATTATTAATTAATACATATTAAAAATTAATTATTTTTCTTCACATATGCCTTTTAAATATTTTCATCTTAATTAAGTATTAACTTCACAACTATGTACAATGAAAAATTATTATCAATAACAAATTTTATTACTATTCTTAAGTTTGTTTATTCTCTCCTATGGTTGTTTTTATTTTTTTCTTTCCTTCTTTTACAATCTCTCTGTTTATAAAGAGTAGAGGAGATAAAGGAGAGGATAAAGATGTGCATGCTTTCTATACATGTTTACCTAGTGAGGTAGAAAGTGAGAGATTTTAATATATGATTGATCATGTTCGTTATATAAGAAATTATTATTATTTTTACGTAAAAAATGACTACGAATATAGTTTATTACTTAGATTATTTTATAAATTTAAATATTTTTTAAAATAAAATAAAATAATAATATTAATATAAAAATAACGAAAGTAAAATAATATCACACAAAGATCTTCTTCAAGACCAAGGGAATAATGAAAAAATCTTTTATAAGAGGAGAACATAATAAAAAATTATCTTTGAGATAAGGTGTGATGAATTACTACTTTAATTAAAAATACATTCACAACATTCATTATATTAAATCTATTTTATAAGATTAAATTAGAAATATAATAATATTATAATTATTAAATATAATTTTCTTTTTATCAAATCTTACACTATCAATGTAAAAAAAATACAAATAATTTAAATAAAATATAAAAAATTATAAATATATATTAAAAATGACGAAATACTATGTCATCTTAATTATTAAATTATAAAAAATGTTATTAAAATGAAAAAGAAAAATTATTTTTTTAATCTTTTATTATATATATATATATATATATATATATGCTTAATTATTAAATTATGAAAAATGGTTATTAAAATGAAAAAGAAAAATTATTTTTTTAATCTCTTATTATATAGAGAGAGAGAGAGAGAATTTGTGGAATTTGCATAGCAGCAATCCACCCACGCGTCCCGTGGACTTTTGACGGTTGGTTTATTAACTTATTTTGTTCACAAACAATAAAATGAATAAAAACTCATGTAATATTTTGTTCACCAACAATAACAAAACTGATTATTTAAACTCATGATGCACCTCTCCAATTTTTAACAACACAATTTTCATAAACTTTTCTCTTTAATATTTATTATTTTATTAATATTTTTAGTTATTTTTAATCATCATTATCAATGGCAAGGGTGATACTGACTTTTTATTTCTGTGTTCTCTTTTGATCTGCTCACTTTTTGTTTCCCATGCTGAGGCCAACAAAATTAGCTATGGTGCAATTGGCCGTGACACTCTCTCTTGCAGCAAAAAAACTCTCAGCCCTGTTAATTACCAGAGACTAATCCTTATCGAAGAAGTTGTGAAGCTGACAATAGATGTGGCAACGGTGGATGAACTTCAGAAAGGACTATCTTTCCCGTATTTATTTGACATGTAATTGGATTGAAGGATAGAGTTAAGGATGTGGAAAAAAAAACAATTGTAATTGATTTGATTGATTTAAAATAATAAAATAATTTAATAAATGATTAAAATATCTTTATTTAAAATTTAATAAAAATGCATATATATTAAAGATAAAAATAATTAAATTTAAAGTAACTAATTTTTTAAATTTCAAATTTATTAAAAATTATTTAAAAATATATTTTAAATTATCATTTATAAATCATGTATCAATTTTTATTCCAAATATTAATTAAAAAAATAAAATTTAATAAAAGAATTTATAATTAAAAAATAAAATTAATTACATTGTTAACAAATTAAATTTGTATTTAAATATAATTTAAATTTTATTATAATAATTTTTTTAAAACCACTTATAATTATATACATATATTATTAATATTAATTCTTATATAATAAATATGATAAAATTTTTTAATATAATTAATTATTCATATTTATATAACAAACTATTTATACGATATAATCGATTATTCAAATTCAGATTAAATCCTTTCAAAATTTTAATGATCTAGGTATTTTATTTATAAAGCTATATTACAAGTAAATTAATCATAATGAAAACATGACACATAATTATATACATATATAAAATAATTAATATACACTCATATAAATAATAATAATAAAATATAAATAACTAAAAATAAAACATAATAAAAAAAGTTATGTATTAGTAACACACACACATATATATATATATATATATATATATATATATATAATATATATATGCATAATTAGTAAGTAAAAAATAATAATATTATAGATTATGAGTAAAAAATTATAAAATAAAATAATATATTTAAAGATAATACAGATAGAAAAACATAATCACATATAATTTTTTTATGCATTTCTTTCTTGTAAGAAGAGAAATATAAAATATGTGGATTTTGTAATTTTTTTTCTAAAATCAGCATAAATCTCCTAATATTAACATAAACTTTCTCTTCTACCCTCAGATTTTTGTAAAAAATAAAGCCGTAGATTCAAATAAAATATAATAAATTAACAAGTATTTATACAAAATAATCATTATACCACTTAATATAATAACATAATAATTATTATACAAGATTTTCTAACGATGTTTTTTATAAATTATTATTATTATTATTATTATTATTATTATTTGAAATTATTTAATAAATATTTTTTAGATTGTGAAAATATAAGCACTGTCACGTATGTCTTATTTTAATATTATATTAATATTATTGTGCAAGAAAACTTTGTAACGAAGTTTTCTTCATGCACAGTAAATTTTTTTCTTATATATGCATACTGAAGCGGGGAGGAGGAGAATCAAAATTTTCCTCTCATCCTTCTTCTTCTATTGTCTAAATTTCAAGCAACGAAACTCTACTCGTGCAGGATCTGGTGAAACGGGAGAGAGCTTGAATTAAGTGGGAAAACTTCGGTAGAAATACCATACCAGGTAAGGGGAAGTTTAATTCATTCAATATATGAAATTGAATTGCTGGGTACTCTGTGAATAAGGAATAGGAGTAGAGATGTGAGTTATTTGAATGTCTGATTTTGAAGAATTTCTGATTTTGATGAACTGTTCACCATTTGAAAGTTTTTGAAATTCTTGAAATTAAAATGCATTATATAATAAAATTGTTGTTTTTAACTTAAATTGAATATGTTTATGGTTTAATTTTGATTTGGAACTAATTTGGGTGATTGAAACTGAGAAATTTGAAACCTGGATTTTGAAAATGGCGTACTGGAGGTGATTACTATTCATATTTTGCAAAGTTTTAAATATTGATTAAATTCTTGAAATTAAGGATGAAGTATATGCTAAAATTTTTGTTTTCAACTTAAATTAGATATAATTCATGTTTAATTTTGATTTGGGACTAGTTTGGTTGTCTAAAATTGAGTAATTTGAAATCTGCCAAAATTTGCAAATTTCGACACTATTGCTGGGCGAAGGAAGAAGAAAGAGATATGAGGGGAATTTTTTTAAAAGATCAAGGGTAAAATAGTCATTTTACATTCTAGGGACATAAATGTAATTTTTGAAAATGTTCAAGGGCAAAATAGTCATTTTACATCTTAGGGACATAAATGGAATTTTTGAAATTGTTCAAGGGTAAAATAGTCATTTTACATTCTAGGGACATAAATGTAATTTTTGAAAATGTTCAAGAGCAAAATAGTCATTTTACATCCTAGGGACATAAATGGAATTTTTGAAATTGTTCAAGGGTAAAATAGTCATTTTTGGGACATGGAAGGAATTTTTGAAAATGTCCAAGGGCAAAATAGTCATTTTCGGGATATGGAAGGAATTTTAAAAAATGTCCAAGGGTAAAATAGTCATTTAGGGACATACA